CGCTCCTGATCAGTCATTCTACGATAAATGGAAAATTTCCTTATTACCTTTTTTGTTGTGGTCTTTAAATTTTGCAACAACAATTTGACAGTGCTGTAAATGGATAAAACATGTCATTAGGCCTGTTCATATATTTTCCAGTGAAGTTATCCAGTAACTTACCAGAGGCAAAACTATATACATACGCTCTCTTTGTTATATGCCTACAAATGTCTTGAAAGTGGAATTTTCTACATTCAACGTGTAAATAGACAAAAAGTAGTATCCGGAACTTCGATTTTCACAAATTAAAACGCTTTCGAAAGTGTTTTATTTATTTATGTGAAGTGCAGTTAAATGTGGCAATGAAAGCGCTTTTTCTCCCCAAGTAGCTGTAAAAATGCGAAAGGCTACTTACTCGTGTAAACAGCCAGAAAATCCTGTTTGCAGATTTGCAGAAATCATTTTTGGAAATAAAAATTGCAAGGTGTATCTACACCTGAAATAACCCAAATTGCTTTCGAGAAATAATTTTAACTTGCTCGTGCTGCACCAGCAATTTTCATTACTACTTTTTATTAATGTTGTTGCAGCAGCATGCAAGTTCCCCAAAGGGTTTTTGGGGAGTGTTGCTGGAGTGACAGTCCTTGGCCAAATATAAATCTGGGTCGTTCCGGTTACGTAGACCCGACTGTCGTGGGAACGTGGGAACTACTCTTTGTCTGTTTATACGGTGAAGTACTTTTTTATTTACGAAAGGCGAATTGCAGATTGCCAGTGCTGCTAAAGCAAGTTGAAATATATTTCCGAAATCGATTTGCGCGCTTTTAGTTGCAGTCACACCTTGCAACTTTAATTTCCGAAACTTATTTCCGAAAAGTGACAGAAAGGTCTATCTGGTTATTCTCATGGAAATAAAATTTTATTTTCTCAACTGAAAGCGAATTGCGTGAAAATTGCGAAATATTGACAAGTCTGACATGCTCTTAACTGCCCCTGCTCTTTTGGAAATTCATGAGTTTGACATCCTTAAGGACTAGCAGTTGCCACGTCTAACAGCTACTTAAAGAACGGGTATAATTTTCTAAACAGGATGGCATCATTCTATGAAAATCAGTGACCAAAACAAAAAGAATAAATTAAAACCACAATTTTTAAAGAAAACTTTATTATAGCACAACGG